CCACGTGCACGCACGTGTTTCGCTTGAGAACATGTTTTTTGTTTCATGTTTCCTGACCAAGTAACAACTGCCACCAGCCATCTGTCCGTGCGGCCAACGCTGAACAAAAACTGAGACATTTCTATTGACACAGGAGTCTGTCCAGAGACAATGAATTTCCTTTTTTCTTTTTTTTTTTTCTTTTTTTTTGACTTATGAAATTAAAATACCGGAAATGATGGAACCGCACTCTCTGTTTAAAGAAATCAAGTTGTGTCAGTGGAAGTTTTCCTGAAGCCTCCAGCAGGGATGCTCAGTTTTACAAAAGCGACAGTTAAATGTGTTTTAAAGAAATGCATCTCACATTTAAACTTTGCACTGTAAATAACAGTTTAATGTGGCTCAGAGGGCAGAAATTGCAGCATCTAGTGCTCCAGTTTTACAGAACAATTTTGCACTAAAAAAAAGGGAAAAAAAAAATCAGTGCCAGCATAATGCCATTCAACATGACACTTAGTGACTGCCTCATCCGTGCTGCTTAGAAGGGGTCACTTATCTCAGTATCTATCAAAAATTATTCTTAACTTTTGAAGCCCTTACAAAACTGTCAGCTAAGTGGAACGAGCAGTGTGGGCAACAGACGCACACACTTTGAAATGCAATGATTTAGTTTTAACAATATGTCTTTGGGAGCCCATTAGATGTGCGTGTGAAGGGGGTGCCAGGGACACCCACGGGACACATTGGCCCGTGGTTAATGGTTCAATCCAGATTGTTTCATTTAGGTGACAACCACCAGGGAAAGCTCTGCAGAGCCATTTACCCTCTTCCCTCCTGCAGCCAGTGAAAGGTGCAGACAGAAGGGAATGCTGATCGCAGATGTGGGCCAAGGTTACAATGAAAAAAGAAAAACTTAGAATTAATTATTCAGTACAAGCTTCTCCTAGAAGGAAATGTGGAAGAATAGAAGAACTGAAATGCCAAAGATCAGTTTGTTATTCCTGTTTGCTCTAACTGCAAAGGGAGCCCCATCCCTTCATTGAAATGGAAACTGGATTAAAGAAATAAAAGAAAAATCGTTATCAAATTGCATGTGCAGTGACTTTATTTCCTAAAATTGTCACAACCACTGTACACACCTTTATTCTTCAATTAAACTGCCATACACTGACAATTTTCTAGAACAAGCGGTTGGCAACAACATATCCAGGGCAGCAGCATAAACCATATAGAAAATGAGATGATAATGGGCACACCAGTTTTTAATGTGCCTCTGGAACATCCACTGAAGTCGTAAGTGATGCACTGTAGTGATGGTGTAGTTAACTGGCCATGGTCAGCCCTAACAGACGGAGTAACAAAATACTGCCTTTATCTACAACATTTCATGCCCGCAGAGGGCAGAAAGGATCCTACCAACACACCTGGGACTCACCCCCTAGCAGCTGTACAGAACAGCCTCGTGCAGAATAACCTTCTGCAGCAGCAGCATGTCAGCGATACAGAGCCTGCCCTCCACGATAGAGAGTCTTTAAGGCAGTGGATGGTCCCAGCCAGGCGATACAGGAGTCAGAAAAAGAACCAGAAGCTTGCAGGAACATTAAACGTATGAGATGACTGAGCCCATTGCCCCTCCTCTGGCATTACCGCCCCATTCCAGAAACCAGGATCTCCGCTCCTGGGAACAGGACACAGGTGGCTTCCCTTCCCCGGGCTCACGAGGACAGGCATTTGGATTTGTCACAGAGAACTTGCTTAGAGCAGAAAGTATAAAAACAGAGACACAAAAAAAAAAAAAAAAAGGCAGACATTGGCTATTACAGTGCAGCATTCATGAAGAAATACTTTGGTTGCAATTTTTCTAATACACTTCCCTCCGCTGCCGCTGACTCTTTGTGATGGGCTGTTACAATCACTGCTCATTCCAGTGGGACTTGTTCTGCCCAAGGAGCACAAATGTCACTGAAATGCAGTCCTTGAGGATTAACCCTCACAGAGGATTAGAAATATTTAATTGTTTGAGCTGTGACAGGAATAACCACATATGATGCTATGTGTATATAACCATACGATGCCTGTAGGACCTTACACAGGCTCTGTGCTCGCCAGCAAGGCACCTACCGGCAGGGAGGAATCCACCTCCTAACAGCACGATGAATACATACTGCCAAGACTATACTGCCTTCTCTGTCACTTCCCTCTGTAAATAAACCTAAAGAAAAAAAAAATTTAAATTGCAACGGTTCTCCATTCAAGAAGCATCTCTGTTCACTTCCTCCTTTGGCATTTCCCATGCTGAAAAGCTTTTGCAAGATGAAACACCACTTGGCAAACATGAATACCTAAATCACTATACCCCTTGCTACACCTATATCCATATCCTCCCATGTATACAGCTCAGCCAGTAGCTGTCCCTAACAAGACGACACGCTCTCAGCTCCCTGGCAGGCAGAGACAGAGCAGAACCACTTTGGGGTTGCAGAAGCTTTTCACAATGCACCTTGTCACACTTCAGAGGGTAAACGGCCAAACCTCACTGCCCAGGTTACCCAGCAGTGCTGCTCTGGCACACGCACACCTTGGGTACATGACTTTTACCTGTTTGCCAATTTTATCTGTTTGCCAATGGCAACTGGAAAAGATAAAGTATGAGCTTCAGAGGAACAACGGAACAATCTGAGGACGGCACGGATTTTCACAAATAAAGCTCCAAATCTTTTACCACTCCTTTAGAATGTACTCTGAGCTATAGAAATCACAACGCAACATTAATAAAAAATATTCCTAAACCACAAACTTTGGTTTAAAGAGTTCTTGATGTTTTCTTTAGAAACCATGTCTTTATTTCACAGAATTACAAAACGGTTTATTATTTGTACTGCTTGACCACTTCACAGAGATACAAAATACAGCTTCTGACTGAACAGCTACCGGGAGGGTTAAAAAACTTTTTCACTCTGATCCCCCCCAATAACAAGCACCTCCTTTCCAGTTTTGCACATGATTCTCCTAAAGCCCTTCAAAAGTACTTTTATACGTTCTTAAGCATGAAACTTCTAAATCTTCTCAGTTTTCATGATGATTAACCGAGAACTGTTACTTTCATGTATATTGTGTATAGTCACCATGTTGTTTTTGATACGGACAACAGACTGAAGCTTCATTATCGTGGCTGTCTAAAGCCGACTGCTGATCAAAGAGGGTTAATCAGTTTAACAGTCACAAAGGAAATTAAGGTGCACACCTCCAGAAACTGGTTACGTTAATTAATGGTCCAATCACCACGTGTGACATGGCATGACAAATTTAATTACCTAGTAAAATACAAAATCTGAAAAGCGCTGAGTTTACGGGAACGCAAAGCTCTTCTCTGCACTCTGCTTCAGCAAACGTGGCACGCTGGTCCCGACACGGAGGCACCACGATGTGCTCTCTGCAGCACAAACACACTGGACATTGAACAAAGAAGAGAACTGTTCAGTGGCTTTCGGACAACAAAGCCAAAGCCGGGCAGACTGAGCAGCTCCTTGCTTAGTGTTTGTCTCTCCCAACCCTTGGCAACGATGACACGGCTTCTGGCAAGCCTGCAGCACCCTGGCACACCCATCCGCACCCGGCTGGTTCTGCAGGTGAGTGATCACAGCCAGCCACAAATATCATCCGTGCCACTCCAGGGCTCTGTCCCTGTTAGTGTTCTTAGAAGGTAACAGCGGACCGTCCTGCACCTTCCGTCAAACAGCGCAGACCCAGCAGGCCAGGGAACTGCTGAACTGCCAACAAGTTTTCTTTCTTGAAAATAAGAAATACAATTTTTACCATCGAGTCGATTCTGGATGGCAAATTCAGAGTACACTGTAACCAGCGCTGGGATAAGCTACTTCAGCATTGTGTCATACATCTCAAGACAAGGAAAACACCATCAGGTTGATTAAAGGACCGTTCCAGCACTCTGTAGGGTGCTGGCAGCAGAAGTTAACACAAGTTAATAACCTGAAGCTCTTTGTCTGCTCTGCATTCTGGCAGGAAACCAAGTCAGACCTTGTCCTTCTGCCCAAAGCACAAGAAATTCTTCATATATTTTTTTCTGCTGAATGACCACCCAAGGGCAGCCTAGAAGGAGACCCTGGAAGGAGGTGCCCCAAACTCTTGCTGGGTAGAAAATGGATATCCCAGCAGCAGCTTTTGTAACGACAGGAGAAACAGCAGCTCACCGTATATAAGCCCAGGAACTGTCAAGCGCTTAGAGATCAGAGCCTGCAGATGTCACATTGGCTCAACATCTTCCAAAATCACATTACGTTGCCTGGTAACTAAGAAAACTATTTTGTTTTAGAAGAACCAAAGCAGCTGATCATGCAAGTTTCTGTTTGCATTTCCAGGAAGGCAAGAGAAGGCCACGCTTGGCAAAACCAAAGTCTGTTAATATATAGTGTTTTTCTTCGTCTGATAGCTAGAGATGCACTTATATAGATAATGTTTTTTAAAAAACAGTGGTTGATTAAAGGATATTTGTTCATAATTATGCTAGAAAAATACAGTTACTCAGGTAGAAAAAATACAAACCACACATAACCCATTCACGTTATGTACACTGGATAACACAGGGACAGGGTCTATGCCTAGAGCAGCTAACGGTACATCCACATACTGATTTCCAAGGTTGGTGCATATGCTTGTAAATATCTTACATATTGCTTCCCACGTAAAAGCTTGGGAAGTATTTCTCAGATGTAAAGTAGCAAATCTTGGTTGGGCAGGTGACTGACTGACTGGTTTTGTACACATCATATCGGCATGGCAAAACCATCTGCACATTCCTCAGTTTGACAATCCAGACCTATTGCTCTTTGGCTGACAAGATTTGTGTTTTCAAACTTGGAGCCAGAAAAACAATAGATATCATTGCTGTATCAGTATGAAACAAAGCATGGCTTTTTTTTTTCCTTCTTTTTTTTTTCTTTTTTTAAAATCAAGTCCTCTGTGATTGCAGAATATCATCCTTATCTCTTCCGACCCTTGCAATAGTTGCATTCTTCATATGCTGGACAAATGAATCCTATTTGCATCCTCCAAAGGGATTAAAGTTCCTCTGCTCCGCACGTTGGAAGGAAGCCCTTAGATAGCAGGGAGGGTGCGTCTCTCTTGCACT